CAAATTTGTGCAAATGCGTTTTTAATAAATCCGAAATTGTTTATGTAGTGAGAACTGTCGCATCTCCATTAGAAACTTTGTCACGCTTTCATTAATCTCCGTTTTATGCAGAATCATCCTGCGTACCAGTTGTGACACGTGCACATTGTACCTTTCAATCTGAAATTTGCATTCATCAATATGATGGGCCCGTTGCCGGTGCGCCCCGATCATCATCGTTCATCGCGCTCTCCTCCCCCGATCCATCGTTAATAATGGAAAAATTATCACCGCATCTACAGAGTGTATGTATTCATTTGCCACTGCTAAATTCGATCGGGTGTAAGTAGGTAGTGGTTGAGTTGTAGCGGGAGCCACCCGGTATATTATATGGAATTATTTATCGGGAAATTTTGCGTGACCGCACAAAATAACGAGAGGATTGATCCGTCAAATAATTGATGCGAATTCAATAAAATGTAAATACCTATAGCCGATGAAATGTTGCTTATACGGGGCAGTAAAAATTTTCCGGAGATTAAGTACGCGCCGGGAAATAAAAAAAAAAAAGTTCGGAGTTAATGCTTATTTCTCGGAGGAAACTTTTAAGGCGACAAAGACTAAATACAAAGAACAATTTTATGAGACATCTGCTGCGATAATAGAGAGGAGATTCATTATATGCTATTAATTATCGAGGAGTTCTGAACAGGAAACGGCACTTTACCTTTTGGGAAAATTAGTCCGATCCGCCATCACTTTGAAATCGCTCCAGGGTCGTAATGACGATAATTCGATAGGGTTTCGGAGTGTTGATCGGCGATGGTTACGGTACAATTACGAGGCGGTGGCCTTAGGAGATTAGAAAATTAACGTTGAATTTCCATTCGAAATTCCCTTTCTCGACACTACGTTTTATAATGCACGTAAATTGGAATTAACGTTAAATTTCTTTGTTAAACGAAAATTAAATACCAGATTAGATTTGAATGTATATTATGTATAAATTATTACGCGAATTGAAATGTAATTCCGTTTTTATTACGTTCCGAACAAAAAAAAAAACTCCATTTCAATTTACATACTGGAAAACTACCTAGTTATTTTATGCGAATAATGTCGGAAAATTAGACACGAAATGGAAATTTTTTCGCTTCGAAATCGAGCCGGTCATGTCGCCGCCATCACGAAACAAATGTTGAATCGGTTCAATAATTGAAATTGAAGAGAAACACGTAATGCGCCGCAATAAGCATTAAGTTGTTTTTTTTCTATTTCGTTCTCCTATTTTTATTTCGATTTCGCTTCGCTCGCACGAAAACCAATCGGTCAATCAGCGACGTTTGCGATATTACAGCGACAATTAAATCGTTTTTATACGGCCCTGCGCGACGCCCAACGAATTCCATCCCTTTATACAACATACCAACCGGCTGTAATTGCTGGTCCTCGATAAAAATTGATCGCCATAACGTACATACAACGCGAACAAAACTTTAGGAATGTATTAATTAGAAATAACGTTCGGCGAGAGGGCGCGGCGTAGATTCCACTTGGAGCATTATACATCGGATAATATTATCAATTAGTTACGATTCCCAATTGAAATGGAATTTATCACCGGCTAGTTCTACCGGGATCGCAATTAATTTATACCGATACGAAGTTATGAGCGACCCTACCGGCACACGCTGTATATCATCTAAACAGTGATTTTTCACTAAGACCTGAACGATTATAACGTGTAGGTAATATTAAATATTCGCCGAGTTGTAGCTGTCAAACCTGTCCGGCTCACGACGGAGCGACGGAGCTCCTTTTGCGCCAGGTTGGGTTGATATTTAGAGAGGAGCAAGAGCAAGTCGGGACGAGTTAATTTTCTTCGGGTTGTATATAGACATGTGCCACTAGCGGCAGATGCATTTAACGTTTATCCGGATGATATAATCGGAAAACTGATGGGAAAACGATACACACGACGGCAACTTATTCCATCCCCTTGTACATTAGGATTATTTAAGTTGCGTCAAACTAACGAAAATTCGGAAGAATTGGAGCTAATCGGCGAGTCAGTTAACTTCGCCTCCGGAGGGTAGATTCAGAGTGGATTTAGAGTAGATTCATAGTAGATTTAGAGTAGATTCATAGTTTATTTAGAGTAAATTCGAAGTAGGTATAGATTTGAAATAGATTTAGGGTAGATTCAGAGAGTATATTCTGAGTAGATTTAGATTAGATTTAGAGTAGATTTAGATTATATTTAGATTATATTTAGAGTAGATTCAGAGTGTATTCATAGCATATTCCAAGTAGAGTAGATTCAGAGTGGATTAAGAGAAGATTCAGAGTAGATTCAGAATAGAGTAGATTAAGAGAAAATTCAGATTAAAGTAGATTGAGAGTAGAATTAGATTAGATTTAAAGTAGATTGAGAGTACATTCAGAGCATATTCAGAGTAGATTAGATTCAGATTAGAGTAGATTCAGTATAGTAGATTCAGAATAGAGTAGGTTCAGAGTAGATTAAGAGTAGATTAAGAATAGAGGAGATTCAGAGTAGAGTAGATTCAGAGTACCTACCTACCTACAATAGATTCAGAGTAAAGTAGATTCAGAATAGAGTAGATTCAGGGTTAAATAGATTCGGAATCGAGTAGATTCAGAGTAGAGTAAAATCAGAATAGAGTAGATTCAGAGTAGATTATTTAGATTAGATTTAGGGTGTATTCAGAGCATATTCAGAGTAGAGTAGATTCAAAGTAGAACAGATTTATAGTAGAATAGAGTAAACTAGATTAAAATGCATGTAATTTTAGTGCGGAGTTTCGGTGCTCCCTTACCCCAATATTTTCCCAGCGAATCCCATTAGAAGTTCGCGAGTATATTCATCGCCGTTTTCTCTTTTGATCGGCCATCACCCGGCTCCCGTCGTGAATGTATTTCCACCGAAATAGAGATAGATCGCGTTTCGCGTTCATCTACGAAACGTTTACAGCGACAATCTAGCGTTGTCGCTAAATGACAGGGCTCGTCTGTGCGTGTGCTGTTGGGGGCCCTCGGAGCTCCCTTTTCACATAAAACGGTCGAATGCGAGATAGGATCTCTCTTTGTTCGGGGCCGCGGTACGTGCGAGGCGCCTTCGTTCGGGGGCCGCGAGTAAATAGCAATTTCGACACCTTTTCATACGGCTCTAGACGTGTTAAAAGAGCGTTTTGAGCGCTCTTATCTACTCTTTTCGCTTTGAGGCAGTCTGGGCGTTTGAGTTCTAATCAATGGCGCGCCGAGGAATCTTTAATGCGATTAATAATAGGAGGTTATTAGTATAATGTAATTTTGGGTTATATGTTTTTTTTTTGAAAGGAAATATTTTCGGGGTCTGTGCTGATGAACCGGCGATAGGGGCATAATTAACGGCGTAATTAAAACACGTTATGACAACATAAATTTCGGGTTGTTTTATGTTGACCTCCAAAATGTATACGCGAATGTTGTTTCGGCGTGTAATTTGTAAAGCGCCATTGGTATACAAATGTATGCCTACTATATTTTTGTTAATCGTAAAATTCGACTTTATTACGGTTATACACTGCTTTTACGACTAACTTTAATTTCTTTTCTTCGCATATAAACGTATACGAACAACAAGGTAATTTAATTTTTATACCGCACTAAACCGGCGAACGTTAGAAAATAATGTTAGTTTACAACTATTAAATAATTCCGAGTTATTTTAATTAACGCGCTGCAAAAAAATTGCCGTTTGATAACGATCGACTAGTGGGCGAAAAACGACAAAAAGCGACATCGTTTTTTTTTTTAATTAACTGTTTTCCCAAATAGTTTTTCGACTAGCCGAAAATGGAATTCGAAAACACCAAACAGAGTTTTGAGGTACAAAAAAAAGCCGCAATAATTGAAAATGACATATATTGCAATGTGGAATTTTTCGACGCAATAAATAAAATTTATGTACACTTTAGTTACAATCCGCGGAAATTTACGGTACAGAAAATCTCATCTGCAGGGAGCGGGATTAAAATCCTGTAACGGACATATTCGATGAATTTGTTGTTTAAAATATTCAATTGGGTTTGTCACCGCTCCGATAGCACAATCCACTTTTTTTTGTCTATTATAAATGATCGAAAATCGAATTTTTGATTGTTCATTTTAACATGGAAAATTTTATTGCCAGTCGATAAATTTCAACGCTAAAATCAGCACCCTATAAATTAATTCCAGCAATCACAAAAACTCATCTACACACGATTCAACGTTTCCTTTACAAACGCAAGTTCCACGCAAGAATTCCCAAACTACCGCCATCGACATCATTCATCTTCCGCCCCTTTTGTTAATTTCCCCGTCGCCAGTTTACGCAAAAAAAAACCCGAAATAAGGCCGCGACTAGCGCACTTATTGTTTTCGAAATACGCGACGTTTCGAAGGGTAGCGAAGCACAAACGACCGGAACATTCCGGTGCAACTTAAAACAAACAAACGCCCCCCGTTCGCATGATCTAACGAAACCCCGCATTGTTCGAAAGGACCGCGCCAACTCTCGCCGCATGAAAGTTTTAATTTACAAGATAAACCGGCTCTCTTTATCAGGTGAAACGTCGCTTAATAAAGACTCCCAGCGCCCGACGAATTGACGCTCTAGCCCAGATTAACTAGTTTTTAATAGCCCGTGCAGGATATATTAAAATTCCGAGCGCAATTTTGCACCTACTATAAGTAAATGAAAAATACAGCCAATCACTCAGATACCCCCGCAGTTTTATAATTGTGTAAGAAATTTAACTGCTTTAATAGATTAGATTTACTTGGCATCCTTCCATTTTGAATCCTTCCACCTTGAGTCCCTCCATCTAGAGTTCCTCTGCCTTGAACCCTTCCATCTTGAATCCTTCCATATGGAACCCTTCTATCTTGAACCCTTCCATCTTGTACTCTTCCATCTAGTATCCTTCCATCTTGCATCCTTCCATCTTGTATCTTTCCATCTTGTATCCTTCCATCTAGTATCCTTCCATCTTGCATCCTTCCATCTTGTATCTTTCCATCTTGCATCCTTCCATCTTGCATCCTTCCATCTTGTGTCCTTCCATCTTGTGTCCTTCCATCTTGTATCCTTCTATCTTTTGCCCTTCCACCTTGTTCCCTTCTATCTTGTGTATTTCAGTCTTGTGTCCTTCAATCTTGTGCAATATCACGTGTCCTTAATCAGTGTCCTTAGCATGTCGAGGGGGGTCCGTGGGAACGTCGGTGTGGGGCACGCGTCGCGACGCTTTAAAAATTCGATCCGTCCATTAGGGCCGGTGAGATGGGCGCGGGGAGCAGGGAGGGTCTCCCCCTAACCGAAGCGAAAGCATCGGACCAGAAAGTGGCCAAAGTAAGATTTAAGAATCTTATTGAACCATTAGAACGACCCCTGGATATCGGAGATCGTTAGTCAAGAGGGGAAAACCGAGGACATATTTCAATTGATTATTCGAAACGGACATATGTCGGGGTATATATCGAGATTTTGCGCGGCCATATTTGAGTAATTATTGAATCGAATGGCTCGGTGTAAAAAGAGCGAAACTAATAAAAAATTAGCGGGGGATGCAATCGTCGAAAATCCACTTCGATAATTGCATTTAAGCGGGAATTGAATTTAGCAATTAAAAATCCGCAAAAGTTTCCTCCGTTCGGCCGGCGCGAATGCTCGCGACGTCCCTCCTCGTCCTCTCGTTGCCGGGGAAAAAAGTTAATCAAAAGAAATAAATTTTTGTAAGAAAGACTACACTCAGTTTTCCACCTTTCTCTCAACTTCGCCGATTTTTCTTTCCTAAGTTTTCTCATTAAAGCTTAAATTATCAACTCCGAAGCGACCGGTGGAAGCGGAGGCAACGATGCCTTTGACGATTTTTTACTTCATTTAGTGCGATTTCGGTGCACGAGCTGGTAGATGTGATGTTATACGGATCTTCTCATTCACTGTCCCGGCTCGCAACGAGGAAATTCCCCCCCGAGAATCGTCATAGTTACATCCAAAATCAATTATTTATCGACATGAAGAAAAAAATTGGTAACCGCATTACACTCATATGATACACGATCCGCAATTAAAATTGACAGGATATCATCCGGCGTGACATCTGACCATTTTGTACTCCTCGGTTCAGGTCTTCGGAAAACTGTTATAGCGGGGATTTGTCTTCGGAATGTATTACCGAAATCTCTAAACAGTGACGGCACCAAAAAAAATATTCCAGAATCCTCCTATTTATTCTATATTTATTCCACCTCGAATCCTTCCATCTTGAGTCATTTTATCTTGAATCTCTCCACCTTTAGTTCTTCTAACTTGCTCTTCTCTTGCTTGCTCTTCTTGTATTCTTCCAGAACGAGACTATAAATTAGTGATACTTTTAGAATAGCATTTATTCGAGAAAGATGGGATTTTTTTTGTTCCGTCACTGCTCACTGTCTTCCTTGACTTCCTGTGCGAGGGTAGAGCGCATTCGTTTGATATAAGACTGATGGCCTAGGGGAGGTTAACATGCTGTGATTGATACAGTTTTCAAATATCCTAAAAGCTGATTGTCATTTCGTCTTATTCCGGTAAATGGGAAAGTTTTTCCCGACAGAATTTCTATATACCTACAAGTAGATAGAAAAGACCGTTGTGTTTATTGTTTAGCAGCATTCCGTCACGCTCCGACTATTCTCGAGTCAGCCAGTTGCTTATGTGAGTTTATAGTATAACAATATTTATTTTGATGCTTCATCTTTTGTCGTTATCATCGCAATTCGAGCTAATGGCGGATCGGAAAGGGAACCTTCTTCCCGGTTTCCTTGCAGTTGTGGCGCCGATCGGGGCATCCCGCGGGACATCCGGAAATTGCGGATGGTTATATATGGAAAAGAGCCGGGCAACATTTCCGGGCGCTGAAAAACTTTTCGGCTTTTACGACGCATTATTTTTCGGTTGTCATAACCGTTTTTGCGCCCGGTTTTTTCCTCTCTCTCCGAGCGCGAGCGCGATGAGAATGATTAACTGTTTTCGGGCATCATATGGTTTTTTTTATCAGCGAAAAGGGCGAGTTTGCTAAACGTTAGGGGTGGGTGGAAATAAACATGCGTGTGCACGCGAATTTGACGCGTTGGGGAATCTCCTCGGCGGAAAAATCCCGGTCTAATCGGTCAACCACTCGAAACTAAAACAAACCTTTCAGGAGCCGATCGAGCCGGGAATCCTAAAATAAAGAAATTAAGTCGCTCTGAAAAGAAAGAGTCTCTGATAAAATTCCGATTGTTGATTTTGACCTTTTCCACCGTCTTTTACCGGGGTTAATAAACCTTTTCTTTTTTCCTCTAATGCAAGGATTTTCCTTCCTTTCCAAGCAGATTTACATGCTTTAGCAGAAGCAAAAAAATATATATACTGTAACAAATTTTCGCTCGGTTGTATCTCGAATCGGAAAGCCCGATTTTTAATTGCTCTATTTACCCGAAGATAAACCGCACGGAAACAAAACTTAAATTAAGCGTTATGACAGGAGGGGCGCGTTCGTTGTCGTGGATGATGGAGTACACCGAACCGCTCCGATCTGGTTCTGACAGCTGCTCTGCGGCGTCAGGTAGTTTTTAGTTCGGCTATAGCTGGAGCAAACGATCATTTAAATTCGGTTTACATCATGCGCCGGCTAGATGGGATGTGAGGTTTTTGCGTTTGTCATATAATCTATTCTATGTCATCAAAAAAAAGTTTTATTCGATATTGTTGGTTTGTGCAGTTTATCTCTATGCTGTTTTGATTATGTTCGGTAGTTTACTTTTTGTTATAACTCAACCTAACCATCGCAGGATGTGTATAATATTTCTATAGTCCGTTCGCTGTTAGAAGATATTAAACGTGAGCGAATAGATTATAATAAAAAATAAATTAAATTACCTTTGGATGGGGAAACGGTGACCTAAAATACGCGTTTAATTTTAATATAGCGCACAAAGGGCTCGATCCATTATCGAAACAAAGACACAAAAGCTTAATATTGCCGTGTCAAAATACAACTTGAAAACCCTTCGATTCGAACACACATCGGATCCTCGACAATGAGCTCATTCATTTCGGCACATATTGATTCGGTATGATTGAATATGATTTTCGACAATGTAATTTAGGCTTTCATTAGCCCCCGAACGGTAATGGAAGCGCCACTAGGTCATGTTTATACTGCCTAAGTCTATATTTAATTGATACGGTTGCGGACCGCCCGATGATTAATCATCCGCGTATCATCCCTGAAAAAAATCCAACGCTCCTGATTTATGTCCATAAAACTAAATAAATAAATTTAATACAAGAAAGTAGCCAATTACAATTTTGGTATTAACCAAGGGCTCGCTCGCTGTATTTTTTTTTAATCGTATAATCTCGGCGAGGTAAATCGAATTAGAAATAATTCAATAAAAAAATGTTCATTAAATTGCCAATTTCCACCTCAACCGAGTACATTTATCTCTTGGCGTATTGATTTTCACTCAACCCTTTTCGGATTAAACCGTTCAATCCTTGGGTCGTACAGTCGAGTATAAACGCCATTAACACTCTAGTACTTAGATAAATACATTATTTTAGGTTAAGTAGACGCAATAATACAAGACAAACAAAATAAAGGGCTCTTAGGTAAAAGATATTTCGCTGGCGAAGGGTTTACTTTGCGTGACTGCCTAATCTTTTACACCTACTTGATATGTTTACTAGGAATTAATTCTATTTTGTGTAATTATTCCCAACGAGTCGACTAAGCGATTAGGTCGGAGAAACACAATTAATATAATCCGGTCAAATTAAGGAGAGCCCTTTAATTGAAAGATCGGATCTCGTTGTAAATTAACCCGGCCGGTTATTTCTCGAATTATTAAAACGATCGGAATCCTCTCGAATTACCGGAAAAATAGTTGCGAATTGTCGAGAGAGCCCCGCAGCTCGAATTATCCATAAGTACCCCGGAAATACAATACCGTTTACATCTGCAAAATAGATGGAAATTAAATCACTCATCAAATAGGTAATTATTTCAACGAGCGCGTAATGAAACACTCCAATATTTCAATCGATTACAACACTTAAATAATCGTTTACAATAACGAAAACTTTTAGTCCGATTTCCGCATCTTAAAGCGCCGGGAAAATTTCAATTAGTTTCGCTACAAAACGACTGGAATCCCTGCCTATGGCAGGAGGTTTAATTCGTTTATGGCTGATTGATAGTCGGCGAATCTCTATAAAAAGACACTCGATGACGTCGAGCGGGTACAGTGATTAGTTTACCCCTATGGATGTTTTGCGCCCCACGGATTCATCAACGTGCCTTTTAATAACCGGCGGTGATTAGCGACTCCCTGTGTACGCCGGGAAGATCGCGCAGAAGTGAAAATCTACGCGAATATACAGTCGAATAAACGCAAAGACGATAGATCCAGTTGATGTAATAAAATTCCATTAGGCCACGCTTGGTTAAACACTTAATAAAAACAGGAATCAAAGCGTATTTTTTCTCCTCTATCATTCGGATGCCCCTCTTTAGGAATCCCGAAGTTATCGGAGAGTTCAAAGGGGAAAGGAAATTGTTTTTCTACTTATAATTAGTTGCTTTTATTGGATAAACCAGTGTATATAAAATTCCACGTGTATAATTCGCGATGATAGTGCGACAGGAAAAAAAAATCTGAATTTTTCACGACGCAATCAAATCCCGCCGGAGGGTCTCTGGCCGGCGCAGCGCAAACAGGCGGATTTAATGAAAAAATTAAATTAGAAGCGGACGAAAATTGAAGTAATTACGAATTCAAAGCGATTAAATTAGCAGAATATAAACAGAAAAGCTTCAAGTTCGTCACGGCGAAATCCGAATTTATACAAGCCGTCTTAATTGCTCGGATGTAGATTTAAATCTTGCAATTAAAATTAAATTTCTTGATACCGTTATCTCTTGGCTTTCGCTCTCCAGAGAGACGAAGCCACTTATTACGAACGAGCGTTGAATTTGGCGCTTTCTAAACTGATTTTTTCCCCGATAAAACTCGCTCATTCAATGTATAGTTTCTTAACATAACATTACTATTTTATAGATTCATAAAATGAATTCCTTGCATTTGTAGCCGACTATTAGAATTTCATTATTCACGCTCTCTGAAGTCTTATTAACATTACCCCCGCGCTAAATACGATTTTAATTACCACCATTTACCCCTATTTACCTCCTTTCCTCGCATCCCCAGCAACTTATTAAATTCTATTCTACTCGATTATTATTGTTTCGCCTTCACTCCGTTAATGTTCCTTACAGTGAATTAATTTAGTGTCTAGAAGAATTTATTTCACTGAAATTACTTTATCGCCTCGATACAACTTTATCGATCGATTGATTATATTCCCAGCAAACGTACTTACCGATCCAAAGTAAATAAACCTTACTTGTGCTGTTAAAACTAATAAACAATATTAAGCCAATTAATATGGCAAGTTGAGTGTAAATTCTCTAAGGTACCATGCGCGCCTCCATTATTCAAAGCGGATTATCGGTGTTTATGAGAGAGAAAATTAGAAGCAGGAGTAGAAAGTTCGGAAACTTGTCCTATAGAGAGAAGATTAAAACTATTTCCCATCCGTCAATTAATTCGCATATCCGATTTATTAATTATGCAAAAGTCGAAGTACACTTATAAATTATCTCATAACTTTCTCGTACGATAGTACTTGATATAAAACCGATAACAATAATTGTTCGTGTACTAAAGAAACCAGAATTTGAGCGATTTTCTGGAGTCCTTTTAAAGCGACTCGGAGTGCCCTCTATACCGATTCCTGCGAACCAGATGGCGCTGTTTAAAGGATCTCCCGAAAGGACTCCTCTCCTCTATACCCAGAATTACCGGCTAGTTTTCCTTTTAATCGGGATCGGGGTTATTGAGCGCATGCTCTAGTAGAAAAGCTCGACGCTAGATGGCTCGACCGGCTCATTATCGATTGAGCCAGTAGAGCTTTCGAAGCGGGAATTTGAAAAAGTAACCGGAAAAATCGTTTATTTGCACGACTTAAAAGCTTCACTTAACTTTTGCGCTGTAAATTACCGATGAAGCATCGAGTTTTAGAGACAGGGAATTTATGTTTGAGCGAGCATCGAAAGAATTGAATTCTGTTCTCTTAAATGAGTCGTGTAATCTCATTTGCGTTCGAGATTTTTATCGCTCCCCGATCGCGTTTTTTACCTCGCTATACTACTCGTAAATCGATCGCTTTTATATCACAATTTAACGCGAAAAAATCGATCGAAAATTTTTTGCGATAAATATATCAAATCGTGGCGGTTTGGGCGATGGTCCGACGGAACTGTCTTTCACCGGGGAGTCCCCCAGGCACTCCAGTCGGACTCGTAACGTCCGGTGATTTCCCCGGGGAGCACTCGGCTCCTTCGAAGGGCGCTCTAATCGATATGCAACTAATCATTCGTTTAGCTTCTTTCGCGGTTGGCCGAGATGCCAATTAAAAAATAACAAATCTCGTCGAATTTCCGATCAATCGATGTTTATATACACAAAAAATATATGCTCGGTTTCAATTTCTGTTCGGAGTAGGTATATCGATAACAATTTAGGAACAAAAGCATCTTTTGAATACCAATAGCCCCGGTTTAGTAGATTATTTGTAGCAATACTGGCCCCGCTCGAAATATAATGGAATATCGACGTAATTTCGATATTGAATACAAATTGCCGAGGTCTATAAACTCGTTAATAAAATCCCAAACGAATGTAATTTAATAAGCGATATAGTATACCAGTAGAACCTTGATAGATGATATCCAGGAAGAGTTTGACGAGGGAAA